ACCCAAACATGTGTGGTGGGGTGAAGAGAGGTAGAGGCAGAAGACAGGGAGTGAACAATAAAAGCAATCAAATCTTATGGCTTAAGGTTATCAGAATAATAATTAGATATACAAGCATCAGGAGTGGGAAACTATTCTTAGATGAGCTTCAGACCAGATAATGGCAGTCTCTCCCAGCCACTGAGCAACAAAGAGAGGCCTGTCCCTACCACACCATCTCCAGTAACTGGACTTTGAGAGCGACATCCCACCTGGCATAGGGACTAGCCTATCAACACTGTTGATCTACAATGCAACAGACGCCACTGCTGAGACAACCTGTGGGCCCCTCTTTTCCATACATGCATCACTCTGAATGGGATTCAGAGAAGGCCTGTCTCCCTGACAATTATACACCTGGTGCAAAATTAGAAAAATCCTATATGGCCACAGAAAGTGAGGGGATTGATGGCTGGGAGAGTCTCCTCCTCAACAGGCCATGTTGGCTCTGGGCAACATCATAACCATTCTCTAACAGTTTTCTCCACTTAGAAACTTCCTTGGTACTTTGATCATGCTATCCAAATAAAAACTAAACACAAGGGCAGCCCAGGTGGCTCAGCAGTTTAGGGCCGCCTTCAGCCCAGGGCCTGATCCTGGAGACCCGGGATCAAGTACCACGTCAGACTCCCTGCGTGGAGCCTGCTTCTCCCTCTGCCTGTGTCTCTGCGCCTCTCTCTCTCTCTCTCTCTCTTTGTGCATCTCTCATGAATAAGTCTTTTTAAAAAAAAAAAACTAAATACAAAAATACATATATGGACTCAAAGAAGGAGGACTCTATTAATTTTAATGTTATCCTACTGCCTGTCTTGTGTCTCTCTAGGAAGGCTCTGGTTCATCTCTTGCACTCATCACAAGGACAGCTTTGCTTCAGGGGCCTGAGAGAGAGAAGTCCGCATAAAACCCCAAGTAAGGGATCCCTGGGTGGCGCAGCGGTTTGGCGCCTGCCTTTGGCCCAGGGCGTGATCCTGGAGACCTGGGATCGAATCCCACATCGGGCTCCCGGAGCATGGAGCCTGCTTCTCCCTCTGCCTGTGTCTCTGCCTCTCTCTCTCTCTCTCTCTCTCTGTGACTATCATAAATAAATAAATAAATAAATAAATAAATAAATAAATAAATAAATAAATAAATAAATAAATCAATCAAACCCCAAGTAAAAACACAATATATGTTAACTATATTATTACTGTCTTTTAATAATAAAGTGTCACACACACTAGCAAACCAGCAAAGGGGAGTGGGCAAGAGAAAGGAGTGAGGAGCAGAAGCTTGATGGTGCGGTGCCTATTTTAGTAAGTGCAAACAGTGGGCTTCCTCCACTGGCCCAGCCTCTATCCAGCAACAGACGGGGCTTACACGGTATAGCCAGATAGCCTCTGAAGTCTAAATACACAAAATAACAACATGCATAAAAACAGTGTGATATCAGAGAGTGACTGCAGTTTCATGAGCCAAACTTAAATTTTACATATAACGTCGACTGCCAAGGGTACTTCACACAAGTGAATCCCTCCCCACCAGAGACTGAGCCACAGTGAAGTCAGGAATGCATTACACAGCACTGGTGATGAAGAGGCTGGACTGACAGCCAGATCAGCAGTGCTATACTCTGATGCTCGAAGAGAAATTGCACCTAACATCGATGTACTCCTCCAACAAGAGGACTCACTTTCAGCTTCTGATTAGGAAGAAAGGAGTTAATACACTCAAGTTATAAAGGAAAGGCCTCAAGTTCTACAGGTTAACCATATTCTACATAGTGACTGAATACAGATATATAACTTTTTAAATATACAATTACACTTTCAGGGACTTAATTTCAGCTTCAAATGAGGTTATTCAGAGCCATAATTTATTACCATATTATGACAAATGACCTGTCTGATTTGAAAATGCTAAGTTGTGTGGCCCCAAAAAACACAGTAGGCATTCTGAAACTGCCCCCTACTGGACCAACTTCCTGGATTAACTCGTGCTCAGAGTTCTCTCCCTACTCCAAGAACGCAATTCCCAAGAACGCAAATGGGCGATCTCCAGCACCACACACGCTGTTCCCACCAGCTGGACTTCATGCTGACCAAGCCAGGCTGTGTCTTCCCAAACCTGTTCATGCCAGTAGACTTGTTACTGCAATTATGAAATTTAATTAAGTATTATGAAAGCTGGTGGAATAAGAGTATAAAAGATAAATCTTGTTTCTATTAAAATCTAAGCTGAAGGCTTTGGAAAGACTTAATAAAAGTAAGTCACTAAAAAGAAAGCTACTGGATTAGAAGTGAGCAAGACAACTATAAAAAAGGGGGAAAAAATGAAACCTAAGATTCTGTAAGACTGGATTGTTTTGCTAGTGTCTGTGGTAGTGCTTATGGCTTATACTCTTAATACAATGTAAAACTCAAAATAGTAGGATCACACTGTCAAAGAAAAACCCTTGGCTTTACAAGAGTCTGAATATATTTCATATATATTTATATATTTTAATGAAAATAAAATACTTTGAGTATGTATAACTTTTTAAAGATTCCCTGCTTTTAACTGGTTATTTTCAATTAACCAGTTCCAATTATGCTGGGCAAGAGGGTATTTTCCATGCTTCAAAACAGAAATGACTTTGGATTAGTGGTTTTTAAATTTATGAAGTGTTATGATCTAAGCTGGATTCCTCTGGAATATAGATGTCCGAATTTTTATCCCATATAAATTTCTACCAGATTTAAACATAAAAACGTATTCTTTCCCTTCAGTCTAGTAGAGAGAAGAGCACAGTGGTTAAGAACATGACATGAGACACACCAGAAGTGGCATCCTGGCTCCCACACTACTAGCTCCATGTCAGCTGAACTGCTTACATGTGCTTAACCACATAACCCCCGGTCTTCTCATCTGGAGAATGCCATCACTAACAGTACCTATCTCAGTGGGCATTTTGAGGTTGAAATGAGAAAACACAGGTCATACCAAATACTTAAGAACAGCTCCTGGTACATAGTTTAGTGTTCAAAAATATTCATTAATAATATTATACTGCCTAATAGAAAAAGTGCCTACTACTCCATAAGTAAACTCATAACCAATATGTTCTCAATGTGTCTTTTTTAACAAGATGGCCTCCACCAACAGACAACTCAGAAATACCTGTGGAAAATGTCCCCAGGTACAATAAAGCAGGGGTTCTCAGCTAGATGCAACTCCCAAAAGATATCTGGCAATTCCTGGAGACATTTTAGGTCATCACAGTTGGGGAGGTCTATCTACTGGCATAGGATAGAGCCAGGGCTGGCTATTAATCCTCCTACATTCTACAATGCACACAAGACAGCCACCTCCAACAAAGAATTATCTGGGCCCAAATGCCAAGATGGCAACACTGAGAAACCTTGTACCTTAAAGGACAGTATATAAGGAAAAAGTGATTTATAAAAGCAGAACTCGGGCAGCCCCGGTGGCGCAGCGGTTTAGTGCCGCCTGCAGCCTGGGGTGTGATCCTGTAGACCCGGTGGAGACCCGGGATGGAGTCCCGCATCGGGCTTCCTGCATGGGGCCTGCTTCTCCCTCTGCCTGTGTCTCTGCCTTCTCTCGCGCTCTCTCTGAATCAATAAATAAATAAATTTCAAAAAAAATATAAAAGCAGAACTCTATAAAATTATTGAGAGCATAGATTGCTTAAAAGTGAAAATGGGATTTCCATTATCATATTGTCAAATGTATATGACAGAGATATTTAGAAGACATGGATACTTAGCAGCAAGACAAGATTCCTATGGTCAATAAACCCTCCTGAATAAGGTCTATGATGTAATAACCTTACAGTAAGTTTTATCCCAATGTGAGCAATGCAATATAACTACAAGAGCCCTGGAAGTGGAACTTGATTAGGAAGAAGTCGACTAAGTAAGATTCAAAAACCTCAAAGCAGTAGGTGGAAAGTCAGAACACTGCTCTAAGTACTTTGCATCCAGGGGACCACTTAACCAGGCTGCAGAGATTCCTGAGCAGCTAATGGATCACAGTGTAGGTCCTTCCTTGGCAAGCATCCTGTTTCTTGGCTTGGGTACTTACAGAACTTAAGCTCACTCTTCAATTAATAATGTGGCTCAAAAATACTATTAGATGGCTCCTCAGACTTCTTTTAAACTACGTACTGTTCAGTAAATCACTGGGCCTTTCTTCAAAGCATGAGATAAAACTATAAAGTACAACCCAAAAATATATGCATATGTATTCCCCCTCACCCCAAACAGAAAAGACTAGAAAGGAAGTCTCCAACATGTTCAGGGTACTTAACTCTTTAGTTCCTTTTCTACCCCATTCAATAAAACCTAGATTTGATTCCTGCCTAAGACGAGCTCTGTGACTTTTGTCAAATAATGTAATTAATGTTCACTAAAATTCCTATCAAAAGGATAGGAATGTAGAAGTCCCATTTGCTGATGAGAACACTGAGGCAGGAAAGAAGTGGTTCTGTACAAACTACAAAAGTGCTAAGAAAAGGTGGCACTATGATTGTTTCCGCAGTCCTTAAAAAAAAAAAAAAAAAAAAAAGCTGTATTTAATTTATTTTTGGGATGCCTGGATGGCTCAGTGGTTGAGCGTCTACCTTTGGCCCAGGGCGTGATCCCAGAGTCCCAGGATCGAGTCCCACATCGGGCTCCCTGCATGGAGCCTGCTTCTCCCTTTGCCTGTGTCTCTGCCTCTTTTTGTGTCTCTCATTAATAAATAAATAAAAATCCTAAAAAAAAAAAATAAGAAAATATTTTCATCTTTATGAATTTCCCTCTCCACGTAACAGAGCAAGTTTTTTTACATAAAGACTATAATTTCATCCATTTAACTTAAAAAACAATTAAGTATACATTTTTACACTCAAAAAGGAGGAAGGAACTCAAAAAGGCAAAGAGAGGTAAGTTGTAGTAAGTAACATTCAACTATTTTATATAGCATGCTACAGGATCTCCACTCACCCTTCTGATAGAAGAATTTCCTGTAGTAGTATGCACCCAGATCCACATGCTCCACGATGTATCTCTTGACCCTGTCCAGATGCAACACGAGGTTGTCTTTGGGCACCTCGAGTACTGCCACTCCTGCATTTGTGCAATGGGAACTAAGCGTAGACTCAAAGGAGGCGCTTTCACACCCACTAAATGAACCAGAATTGGATTTTGACAGGCTGATCTTCCTTTCGCCTTCTCCACCGATCTCATTCCGAAAATACGGGCAGCTCATTACCAGTTCATTGCTCTTATCGTCTCCCTGGTCCATGCTGAGGCTCCCCTTGGAATTCAGGTCCTCCGTGCTGCCCATCGGGGAGCTAAAGCTGGCCGAGTGGGACAGAGGGCCCGAGACCAGGGAGGCCACGGCAGCGGCCGATGCCCCCGTGGTGGTGTTTCTCCTCTTGATAACATTGTGCCTGTTCAAAATCGCCTCGTTCAAGTCAAATAATATACTCTGGACATCGTAGTGGGCAAAGCACTTTGGGCACGTCCAGGGCCGGACAGAGTCTTCCGACCGGTTGTCTTCGAGATCCGACGATTTCCCAAGTTCCTCACCTTTGGCATTGCGTAATTTCCGAAAAATGGACGAGTCTCCAGTTTCAGATTTGGAACGGCGCTTGAGTGGTTTTTCCCTTTCCTTAAACAGCCTGAGGTTCTCTCTCTGGGAGATGGGCCCGTCGAGAACATCCAGAGAGAAACCGGAGCCCTTGCCCCCACCGGCGATGAGAAAGTCACTGAGCTTGGTTGGAGTGGGACCCCGATCGGACTTGTCGTCTTTGTAGCCCTTTAACAGGTCGAAGAAGCTCTCCCCCGACGTTCCCTGCTTGTCGATCGACGAGGTGCTACCATATTCCCTGTGCAGTGAGGGCCCCGTCTTGTATGTGGGCGAGATACATTCATCGAAGCTATCCACGTCAAGTTCACTTATGGTGATATCGCTGTTGCTCCGCTGCCGGATCCTGCGGAGAGCCTTCCTCGGCGAGCTGGGGTAGGCCTCGGGCATGAGAAATCTGGAGTCCATGTTCTCCGCCGGCCTCGTCTTGTTCTTCAGCGTGTTCTGAATGCTCTTCAGCATGGCTGAGTCACTGGAATTGAGGCTAACAGAACTTCCCTGACTCACAGGACTGCTTTTGGAGGACAGGCTCTCAAGGCAACTTGAGGTTTCTATTTCCTGGCTTGAACGGCTCGAGTCTTTAACATTCTCCTTTCTTGGGGGCCAATCCGCAATCCTAGCCCTAACCCCCATCTTGGGGACTCCGGGGGTGGAGGTTATATGGTGAGAACCTTCACTTCGGGGGGGCCCTACCGGAGCCATGACCGAGGACCCTAAGCTGCCGTTCTGGGACCTGAAGCGCCGCATGTAGAAGTCGTCAGAGTGGACTTTGGGAGCGCCATCTGTGGTGACAACCGAGGCCCTTTCGGGGGCAGCAGGCCGCTCTGTCTGCGACCGTTTCAAGCTGGTCATGATGTAGAAGCAATCAGACTCAAATCCCTCCACCAAGGACCATCATATCTAAGTTTTAAATGTGCACTTCCCTTTTGGAGAACGGTTTCCAGAAAACACAGCAGTTGCATGAGATCTTAATCTTTTTCATTTAAAAGGTGAAACGATCCTTTATTTCCAAACCGCTGAAAATCCAGATCTCCACAACATTATAATCCACAATGGTTCCTTTGCTTTACTTTCACAGACAGCTTTCTTTCAGAAAAAACTGAATGGAACTTGTATTACGGGGACTCCGTGACTGCCACAATCCCATGCTTTCTCTAAAAGAGAGAGGAAGGACAATTAGAATTAGCATTTGATAAATATCTCTAAAAATAAATATGCAATTGCTAAACCCAGACGCATGAAAATAAAAGACTCGATAATGGATTGTGGTTCACAGTTCAGAGCCCATGTTTTTAGTAAAGCAGGTTTGAAAGAAAGGAGGAACGTGAAAGCATTTAATAAAATCCATCTTTTAAATGATACACATCTTGAAAGACTATTAATACTTTAACTTCACTGAACGGTCTCATGCAGTAGGGAGGGTAGGGTGGGGATCTTATTCCAGGACATCAAGGCTCCCACCCCAAGTACGGACCAAGTACAGGCTCCAGTGACCTCCGATAACGTGGAGCATCACGAACCACTGTGCCGACCAGAAGTTCGAGAGACGTGACCAACAGAGTTCAATCATCAGAGCAGCATACGGTCAGTTTTTTAACAAGACTAAAAATGGTGTTATCGAGTACACTGCAACACTCACTTTTTTGCCATCTTTCACATTTTAAAATCCTGACTTGCTTTTTCGGTTTCTTTACAAACGCTTAACATAGTTGGCAAGAGCAAATACAATAGAGAGAAAATAAACAGGGTTTTCCCGGAGCCATTATGTCCATTAGCACTCCTCTGCATTTCCCTCACTTTATTACTTACCCCTGCGAGGAAGGGATGAATCCCGCATTCACCACCACCTCTTCCCCAGCACTCCTTAGTCTATTCTTGAAGCTAGAAATATTCGGCTAATTAACAAAACGCCTGCATTTCCTTACGCATTGCATCCTCCCCGACCCTCCGGTGCTGATTTATGAAGACAGCAAAAACAAAATGCTGCTCTGGACAGACCTCTCCATATTCCCCGACAGACGACAGAGGAGTGTTAGCATCCTTGCAGGTGATGGGTGAAGAACACCAACTTCCTCGTGAGCCCGTCAGGCAGGAGGCAAGAGGCACACATTCTGAGTACAACACCCCGCACGGTTGCATACATCCTGAAAATAAAGGCAGAGGACCCTGTTCCAAGGCTCCACAAATTACCCAAGGGGTGGCCTTTAAATTCTTGCCAAAGACATGTTTGGAGGGATGCTGCTGAACCAGCACTGCGCTGACAGGGCTGCATTGTCTACAAATCACGGCTGACACCCCGAGGACGACCCGCGCTCGCTGCACTCCGCTCCTCGGTAACAAGCACTTACTTCCACGGTAATTAAGCATCTCGCTAGTCGGCCTCCTGCCTCCGAGGCAGCCGCTTTAATTCCTCTTGCAGTACGCAGCATCATTTTAGAAGCCTCGCTGCTATTTAAAGGCTGGAACATTTAGGGGAGTTTCAAAAACTGCACGCTGCCTGCAGAATGCAGGGCCGGCTGAGCTCCAGCTGGGCTCCGGGGCAGGGCCCGTAGGCCAGGCAGATAAACGCCAATTGTTTTCACTCTGGCTCCTCTTCCCTTGCTTTTGTGACCCGGATAAAGGCTTTGCACCGCTACCTAATTAAACCTGGCTTTGGAGCTTTCTAGATACTTCTGTCCTCGGATTGCTAGGATTTCCTTTACAATTCAAAACGTTGCAGGCTCCTCTTGAACGGTAAGCCTTCAAGTGGAATAACGTGCTAACTGTTGCTTCCAGAAGCAGAGGGGCAGCACATGGGGCCACAGCTGAGGTTCGAGAAGTGCTCTGCGTAAAATGGGAGGAAAACCAGCCAACTGAGCCAAAATGCAAAGTAATCTCCAGTCCATCTCCAAAAGGAAAAAAAAACTCTAGACAACCAAAGCTAGAATTTATGAGCTGTTTTGTAACTGGGGGGGTGGGCTGTTTAAGTCTATGAAATATCTTCCAAACAAAGAATACACTGACATAAAGAACAATTCTGAGCAGAGTCTTCTAAAAATCAGATGCTTTCTCACCAGCTCACAGAAACCCAAATAAATATACTATTCCCAGAGCTTTGTCTCTAAAAGGCCAACACACTAATGCCACCGTGATAACAAGACATTCTTGTCACATTTCATTTCCCTTAGAAAATACTTTGTTGCAGAACTGTCTTTTTTAGGATATGTGAAGTTGTGTCCACTGGAGGAGGGAACTGAAAGCCAGCCCTAAAAGACAATAAATAGAACTGACTTGGAAATGCCCAGGCTTGGCTGTCTCTACTATAGACCTCCTCTTCAGAACCATCTCAAAGCCTTCCTGGATTTTTTTTTTAATGAGTTTTTAAAAATCTTATATTTCATAAAAATTTCTTTGCAGTGTGAAAGAAATGCCAAGACTTTTGTTACATCTTGTAAAACACTGCAAGTTTTCTTTTTATTTCAAAATACAGATGGGCACATAGGGAGAGAACGTGCCCATAGTTCAATGACCTGTAAAAACTAAGGCACTGAAGACAGACAACTAAGTTAAATAATGAGGTTTTTATGCTGTCATTGGATCTTCTCTACTATTCTCATTCCCTCCCTGCCCCATCCCCCTTTCTTTCTCCCTATCCTGTTTATAGCATCAAACCCCTTTCAGCACAATATGAACTTTGGACAGAGATTGGTATAGGTAGAAATATATGAATATTTTGCATTTGTTAAACTAGCCAAAAATAAAGATGTCAGCCATGTGTGACAGATCAGTAACACCTAAGACCTATTGCTGAGGGTTGAGAGAACAAACATATGCTCATAATTATTAATAATTCTCTTAATTATCAGCAAACCTGCTTAAGCATCATTACATACAGTAAAAAGCAATAGATTTAAATAGAACAATACTAATTTATATCATGTCATCTCCATCTGTTGGAAGGATAAGCTATATAAAAATTTCCTTTGTACATGTTTCACTTTCCACCTCTAGGTACTACTACTTGAGTCTATGGTAGACCCATTCAGCAAGAATATCAACCCACTGTTTATCAGAAAACAAGAAGATGCATTCAAATCCTAGTGGTTGACGGTCTTTTCATCACTCAAGGTCTACCACAACATAACCCACCACCTTTTTTTGATAATGCCAGTCTTCCAGAAGGACTTCCTCCTCTGTTTTAAATCATTCCCAGCATTTCTGAATTTCCTTCTGAGCATCAACACACACTTAGTGTTAGGGGCATTTGAGGAAACAAACCCTCCATTCAAGGGAACCTATAGGTGTAAAAACAATCCTAATCATTCTGGCTCCTTGAGACATTTAGACTCTTGATTCCTCCCTCCTTCCTAAAATGCTCTTCTCTAGATTTCCATGATAACCATGTTCTTTGTTTTCTCTTGCTTTGTCTTTTTGCTCACTCTTCAGTATCACTGGTGGGCTCCACTTAAAAGCTAATGACTCCAGAGTGGCATTTTTGGCTGGCTTCTCTTACCATCCTTCCTACCTTGGGCAGGGGGGCTTTAGAGAGTATTAGGATGTCTGAGAGAACTGAGTACAGCAAGATGAGATAGCAGTATGGGGTGGCATGGGGACACTCAAAAATATTATTCTGGTGAGTAGGATGTTGTTGACTTGGTTGGATCACAGCTGCCTATGCAACTGAATGAAGACAGAATAATGGATTTATGGGGGGAGATGACTGCATGGTAGCCAGTGTGCTCTGGTGATGTCAGAGGTACCTGAACCTTCAAATATAATCTCTGTGCAATTACCTCCAAATGTCTACTCATGACCCTCTCTGTAAACTCCAGATAAAATATATGCAAGTATTCATTTCAGATCTTCCTTATTTACCCATTTTGTACAATGAATTAACTACCAGAAAAATGGAAAAACAACTTTTTTTTTTCAAGAAATGAATGAGGGATAAGGAAGTCAGAACAATAAATAATTGAAGGAACCAAATGAAAGGAACAACATGAGAAACTTTCTTTGTGCCAAGAGCATAAATAATAGTTTAAAGGCTACACAAGAAAATGTGGAAAGGAAAAAACAAAATAAAACCCCCAAACCAAAAAACCCAACAATTATACTTCCTGTCCTGAAATGATTTACAACACAATATAGTATGTTCACCAAAAAGATGTAGCACTGCTCATCAAATATGTCTGCACTCCAAAATGGGATGTTGTTAGATTCCTCTCACTGGTATTTATTTAATATTAGTTATGAAATTTGAGTATTTATGAAAATATCAATAGAAATAGTTTACAAAGTTGTGTATATACATTGATTTAGAATGCCCATAAATATACTTTATTTATTTTATTTATTTGATTATTTATTTTATATTTTATTTTAGAAAGCATTATTTTAAAACAGAAATGGTGCACCTGGGTGGCTCAGCGGTTGAGCCTCTGCCTTTGGCTTAGTGATCCAGGCATTTTGGGATCAAGTACCACATCAGCCTCCCCACAGGGAGCCTGCTTCTCCCTCTGCCTCTGCCTCTGTCTCTGCTCTCTCTGTGTGTCTCTCATGAATAAATAGAATCTTTAAAAAAATAAAATAGAAATAGAACCTCACAGTGCTTAAACATGAGGTTAGCTAAGAGAATCAAATAAGGTAAACTCTTTCCTTTATTTCCCTTCCTGACTTTCCTGAATTTCACTCACATTACATATAAGTACCATCTCAGATGGAAGGGTTGTCTCACTCTTTCAAGCGAGCCTGAAACACATACATCTCAGTGCAATGTCCTGTAAAATTTAAGATTCATGAATCAGCACACAACTTTTTAGACAGGAATTTCCTCCTTCTTTCATTTCCGTCCTGTCCCTCCAACAAAAAGCAGGAAGGATGAGGAAAAACAGGGTTGATAAATCTAGTTCCTGTTCTCAAAATATTCCCTATCTGAAAAAGACACCACTGATGGAGGCAAAAAAGATTCAAAAAACTTGCTCTGAAATTAACGGAGTAAAAAATTGATGGGATACAAAACCTATGTAACAGGATCAAGTTACATTTGAATTTGTAGATAAGAAAGCAGTTTAAAATGTATCTGTCAGGCCAGAGCAAGAACCAAAAGTGAGAGTAACATCTGGCTCCTACCCACCTGCCTGACTTAAAAAGCTCAATGAAAAAGGTTACACTTCAA